CAGTGAGAAATTAAAAGACAAGTCCAATTGATGCAAATTGCCTGTCTAGCTGCTATATAGCTGTTGGTTATAAACCGGGACAATAGAAAAGTGCGGCTGCGGAACATGCCACAAACAACCTTCTGCTACAAACCCGTTTTAAATGTAGTTTTTGGCCTGTGAGCCTCCCAGCTGTTTACCTGACGTCACTGTGGGCGGTGCAGCTCCGGACATGCATGTGCAGTGTGGCGCAAACGTCAAATGGGCTTCACTTGGAGGCCCTGCTGTTGTGATTGTCTGTATGTCTCTATGTGTGTGTGTGTGAGTGCGTATGATTGTCTGTGTATATGTATCTCTATATTCATGTGAGAGTGTCTGTGTCTCTCTCTGTTTATGAGTGTCTGTGTGAGTATGTTTGTGTCTCCCTCTCCTACGTGTTTGTGGTTTTGCCTGTGTGTCTCTCTGTGTTTGTGAGTGACTCTATGTGAGTGTGTGCCTCTCTCTGAGAATGTGTGTCTCTTTGTGTCTGTGAGTGTGTATTTCTCTCTGTGTCTGTGTCTCTCTGTGAGTGTGTGTGTCTCGCTCTGTGTCTGAGAGTGTGTGGGTATCTCTCTCTGTATCTGTGAGTCTCTCTCTGCATCTGTCTCTCTGTGTCTGTGAGTGAGTGTGTCTCTGTGTCTGTATGTGTGTCTCTCTCTCTGGGTCTGTGTGCGGTGCTGGGCCCTGAGAGCTTCTGTAGCCTCACTGTTGTTTACCCTCCCTCCCCAAAAAAAGGCCACCCAGGTTTTGTTACAGAACAATTAATATGTTTTTTGCAACAATCTAACATGTGTTATTTCCTCGTGTTTAGTTTTTATCAATAATGTGGAAAAATAAAGTTAGCAGTAAAATGTACCTCAATAGCACCTGCAAACCCACCTGCAATTTTCCCCAAAATTCGCCAAATCCCCCCAGCAATTTTCAGGCAAATATTTCCACATTTTATATTGGCCCAGGTTATAAAGCACCATTTTCAATTCCCGGTACTAGGATAATCCACTACAGTTGTCTGGCTCTGATAAATACCTGTTTGTATTGCATTTTTGTTTTAAAAAAATGAAGTAAAATGATTACTACAAGGCATTTAATCTTGCAATTAGGGCTAACAGTTTGGTTGGTCTCCACTGTCAGCAAGTCCCATTCGACTTCAAGATCCTCACACTCATGTTCAAATCCATTCACTTCCTTCTCCGACCTCCTCACTCCCCAATCCACTACCTGGCACCTCCGCTCGACTGGCACTGGCCTCCTGCTCATCCCTCACGCCCTCCGTCCCACCATCGGAGGTCGCGCTTTCAGCTACTATGCCCCGAAACGCTGGAACACTCTCCCTCAATCCCTCCACCTTGCCCTCTCTCGCCCCTCTTTCAAGTCCCCCTTGAAAACATTCCTCTTCGACCGTGCTTATGGCCACCTCCCGCTCTTTGGAGTCGAGCTCCGACACTGTTAAGTGCTCTGAGATGCTACCCTGCATGGAGGGCGCTATACAAGTGCAAGTTGTTGTTGTAACAGCAAGGGCTGTTGAAAGCTAAGGAAAGCAAAGTGATATGCACTTCAGCACTTAAGACTCAAAAACACAGCAAAGTTATAGCCCTGTGTGGAGCCATTCACCTCAAATTTAACTCAGTTTCTAAAAAAACCACATCATTCCCCAATTGCTCACCTTCTGAAGGTGTTGACTCATGCTGGGAACAGTTCCACAGCTGTACTTAGCATGAGTCTTGATCTTAACTTTGCCACAGGGACTGAGGAAACCTGGATGACTTTATTACAGTCTCTAGCCCAGACACACTGGCTGAGAACAACTAGCTCCCCACAGACAGAGACCTTTCTTGGCACTGGGGAGGCCACTGATGAGGGTATTTGAATCAGAGTGCGTACATAGGACTGAATCCGGTCAATAGCACATTAACGTTTAGTTACCAAGCAATTCACAATGCCGAAAATTAAAAAAAAAGAATTATATGGTTTGTGAATTCAAATGCATCACACTGTCTATGTACATGCTCCTCTTGGTGACATCATCCGTACACATGGGGGTCAACATCAAGTCCTGGATGAGAGCCAACTTTCCTCAATTTTCTCCCCAACATCCGTACCATGACCTGCTCTGCCTTGCCCCACCTCCACAACATTGCCCGACTCCACCATTGCCTCACCCGTCAGGCTGCCGAAATCCTCATACGTGTCTTCATTTTATCCAGGCTCGACTATGCCAACGCCCTGCTTGCCGGCCTTCCCAACTCTTCCCTACACAAGCTGCAGATCATCCATAAATCTGCAGCTTGTGTCGTCTCCCGGACCAGGCTCTGTGACCCCCATCACACCCACCCTCGTCCGGCTAAATCCCTCAGAGGATCGAGTTCAAAATTCTCATCCTCACCTTCAAGCCCTCCATGGCCTTGTCCCCTCCTACCATTCCGACTGCTAACCCCTTATCAACCTTCCTCTGCGACTGTGCCTTCGACCATCCTCCTACCATCTCTGCCCACCACCCTCCTTGTTTCCAATCCCCCCGCTTGGGTCCTAATCCCTGATTGTTCAGCGTCTTGGGACATCCTCCCGACATCAAAGGCACTATACAAATGTAATTTTGTATTGTTCTATCTCCCTTATTAATAAAGTTGTACATCTACCACCACGGAATTAATTAAAAAAAACATTTTTTGTAGGACTTTAATTTTTGAAATGGATATTAATGAAAGAATCTCAATTAAGGCATTAATCCCACATTTTTCAGTTCATACTAAATTTATTTTTTGTGCAAAGTGAAGTCTTTTCTGCAGAAAGTACCTCAGTGGGTTTTGTGAATTGCTCAGCATACTACTGAGTATTGCTGACTGAATTCATTCCTGAGCTGACCTTCAAATGCCTCCTCCCTGGCCTCCTCAGCTCCACCATCCACAAGCTCCAACTCACTGGACAAGCCTTTATTCAGCCACTATACCCCACTATCTACCATTCAGTTTGATCCTCTCTCGATCAGTCTCCAAAAACTGCCTAAAAACACCTCAACAGTGCTGACAGTTCCCACACTTCTCTCCCATTTGGTGGGACCACAATCTTTGCAGCCATAAATTCAATTTGTGAGAGGGAGGATATATCAAATTAGTGATTAAAATAACTGATGCAGCACATCAATTACTATGGTCTGAATTACTGCCCAGCAAGTGATTCGCAATGATTGCTAAAAAAAATCAATTCACAACATAATTTCCAACTACTTGCAGCATTCCTTTTTATTTTGTATACAATCATGGAGAGGTTGGTAGTGAGTGATAAAGCTGCGATTAAATCACAAGGTTCAAATGCGACCAACAACAGTACAAGCCAAGATTAAATACTTTCCATTATCAGAATCTCCTCAGACTAACTGATTGGAAATATTGTCACATATTGCATTGTTTTCTAAAAGTACACATATTTTATTATACAACACAGATTTACTTTGCTGGAGGTGAGAACCATGGCCGACATCGGCAACTCTGATACGCCATGTTGTTGATGTACAACTTCCTCATTGAAAAACTGAGGCAATCACCACAAATGGAAAAGGTGTTGGGTATTAGAAAATGTTGGAAGTATAAATTATAATCTTAATCATATGACTGATAGTTATGGAGATACTGTGCTGACAGCTGAGGCTTTTGTGATGATACAACTACAAAATAATGCTTCAAGATTATTCAGTGGATGTGGGGTGGAGGGGAGCAGATAAAATGAGTTTGCTCTTCAAAAGCACGATTGCAAGGAAACTAACAGTCCAGATCATAGGATGCATAAAATTATTGAATGTAAGCGATTAGCCTATAATTTGATTTAAGACTTTGTATTTATACAAGGACTACATAGCAGTGAAGCTTTAATAATTCACAACATCACCCGAATCTAAGATTAAACAGCAGCCTTATTACGCACTTCCAGACATCAACAATCTAAACATACATTAGTCTCAATAAAATAGATATAATGAATGCTGAAGACAGTCAAATATGTATTGTGATGATACAGATGGCTTGCTATAAGAGGTTATTTTGATCTCGTCACTGTAGAATAATCATGATTCACAGAAAGGTAGAATAAAGATTAGAATTTGTCATAAGGCACTGGATCCAGGTTACACTAATAGTTAATGTAGCAATACAGTAAAACTCACATAAGTCATATCAGTCAGGATATGACTTGCACAAAGTCAGAGTTGCAGACAAACTATATATATCGGATAAAATCTGATTTAATCAATAAATCAACACTGGTCATGCGTAATTTAATATAGCCGGTAAATGAGCATGTCTGTTACTGCAGTCGGTAAGTGCCCATGTGGTGATGGGTCAAGACTATCTTTCTCAATTAGCCATTATTCAGTGATGTTGGCAACTTTTGGGAGCATCACTGCTGAGCCTGATTCAGTCCTCAATTGAAGTAAATGCAAACTTCCCAGCAGAATTCACTGGATAGTGTTCAGAAATAGGAACTGAATTATTTAAATTATTTAAATAAAATGATTTATATTGGAGATAAACTACTGCACCCTACTGTGGTCCAAACTCACATCATTTAATTAAGAACACACTAAGGATTAGTGCAACCATCAAGATCTTACCGCTATATTTTTTCACCCTCTGCTATTATTTATTTGTAAATTACCCGAACCAACAGAATTTTTTCCTGCTCATCTTAAACTTGGGGTAATCAATTCAATAGCTAAATACTCAATGCTTCAACCAACCTCCCAGTCAACATAATTGCCAAAGTACATACATAGGTTCACAAGGACAAACCCTGGATTAGATACCAAGGATAAAATAACTATGTACAGTGAATAAACTTAAAGGCTGAACAGAACCTAATGGCAAAAGTTGGGCAACAAAAATTAAAACCCAGACCTTTTCTATGTACACATTATTTGAGATCTAAAATGGCATTCATACACACCAACACCATGCCGAAAATGAATATTCTAAAGAAAGACAGCAACTCACCTGTTGGTAAAAGAAATTTAAGGTTGGCTTGTCTTCACTGAATTCATTCAGAAAACCCTTTGGTAAATACCGAACTCGTAACTCATATCTGGAGGGAAAGAAAAGAACATTAAATTAGTCTTTTCCTTGAAAATTAACAGCAGATTGACTTTTATTATAAAATCTTACAGCACAATAGGAGCCCATCATGCCTGTGATTCCTGTCTGTGCATTTTGTACCACTCTCGTCATTTTTAAAATGTTTCTCTTTTTCAAGAATACACAGGTAATAAAAACCTCTGGCTGTAAAACTACAAAATTGAGCTTTAAAAATACGTTAGCGTTTTCAACAACATACAAAAGATACTGCTGTGCAACTTTAACTCAATGCAACATGTTTTACGGTACAATACCAAAACAAGAGATTAAAATATATGGGGTTCATGTCCCAAGGCCTTCTGCCTCAGCTGAGTGAAGCTGGTCACTTTTGCTGTTGCCAGATGGACCGTGGAAATTGCGGGGGGGGAGGGGGGGGTAGGTGAGTAGGGGAAAGAATTAATGAGTTTTGCACTAGAAATTACACTAGCCTGCTGGCCACACCGGAAGATTAATGATAGCGAGAGCACATGAGCTGTTTGCAGAAACACAGTAAGGAAAAGGGAAACTATTAAATAATTGCTAGCCATTCCTATACTCCGGATATCACAGGCCCCAGGATTATTTTAAAGCAATTTATAATGACTTGAAACAGAAGCTCAGTTTTGCAATAGCCTCAGTTTGTTTTGCTAAACAGAGGTTTCTGACAGATTAACTCTGTGTGACCCTCAGAACTTTTATCCGGTGATAACCATTTATCTAACTACCTTTGAAGTTTTTTTTTAAATCTCATGTGTACCTTTAAACATTAACGTGGTCAAATATTTTGCCATTGCACAAGATTAGTTTATTTTCATGTCTGAACTGATCTACACTAGGGTCATTATACTTAGATTCTAGAGACCAAATGTAGAATTGACAGCTCCATTGTTGTACTCAATTCCCCCTCTCACTCATCTATAGATGCAGCTGGGTAGTCACCATCAATAACTGTCACATATACTAGGGGAAATAGGTAGATTATCAGACCAGGCAACTCACAAGAGAGGCTTGTATGAAGAATATTCTTCCACCGATTTGATCTCATCCTTACAGCATATCCACCATACTGTTTTCCGTGTTACATATCTAAACTGTTTCTTCAATGAATTCAGTGTTCTGGTTTCCAGCACCCTTCCTGGTAATCGATTCCAGCAGTTGATTACTCACTGCATTAAAAAAACTTCATTGTGTCTGTTGTAAAATTACCGCTACAACCCTGAGCTTGTGCTCGCTTGTCCTGCTGCCTTGATGTAACTTCATATTTATTCATTAAAGCAGGAGACAGAGCAGATGTCTAAATAGATCCAATATAATCCTCAGCTGTGGGATATGTTCCTTTTTATGTATGAAGGCTATAAAATGAAAAAGGGGTGGGGAAAAGTAAGGAACTGTATCCCCAAATTTATTAGTCACTCTCCATAGCAGCAGACTGAACAAACACCGGTCCATCATGGACAAATAGCTGCTCTCATCAGATGCTTATGGTTTGTACCAGTTCTCAGCACCAATAAGGAAACAATGCATCTGGAGGCATCTCTTTAATAAGGTCTAGGAGTTGATGATGTTGCCCCGGTCAGTTAGTTGAGAGAGCCACAAAAAGCTCCATTATAAAATAGAAAGGGTCCCATCTTCCTTGACTGCCTTGGGGAGGCAGGAAGGAAGAGGTAACATTTAGTTTCTCTTGAGTTGTAAGAACTGCAAAAATCTCTTCAGTTACAAAACATACTGTTACTGCTTTTCTGATAATCACGTTTGATCTACAGAAGGGAAATCAACTACATAAAGGCAAGAAAAGCTGTTGGAAGAAGATTCCTCTAACTACTTTAGGACTATCTGTCAAACAACATGTCTGCATTTTACAAACTATGTCCACCTTGCCCAAATTCTGTCTTTGAATCCCAGTTTAGCCAATCTCAGCCACAAAAGCTGACAGTGTGCTTTGTATTGAGACCCAACAGTTTTAATTAATTAAATCCTTATTTCAATGTATTGTATTACTTGGCAGCAAAGCTGGTAACTGGTAGTTCTTGCAACTAAACAATACTTCAATAAGCACTAAGTCATCCTGTTTTTTTGCTGTATACGGGTAGAATAAAGCAACATGATTATATAATGGCTTAGAATAACCTAAACTGTATTAATGGTGACTATAGTGGATTAGTAACAGCAAATACTCTGAGGAAGAGTACACCACACTACTCACAGTAAACAATAATGTTCTTTAACAGGTTTAAAAGTCCAGTTATTATGTGGCCTTGAACTGTAATTTCACAGTAGAAGGATTAAATATTGCAATAATAGGGCACCATAAATTCTAGCTAGAGAGCCAGCTTTTTCAATAAAGGTTGTCACAAGTTTGCATTCCAGTCTCGACTGACATTCAAATCCATGAATGTTCAATTAATTCAGGCAAAATTCAGCCCATTTAGTTCATGACATTTTGCACATCAAAGGTGAAGAGACTTCCCCTTGTAGAGACATACCTCCTGCTGTTCAAATACAAGCTACTTAAGGAAAGTCCATTATTTCAGGGTATCTGCTTCACCCTGCTGTTTAAATATGAATGCAAGATTATGTGAAACAACTACGACAGTTTTTGGAAGAGGGAGGAGGGGAAAGAAGAACATTGTGTGGGAGGGGGGGGGGAAGAAAGGGAGACGATTGTACCATAATAAGCTCACTGAATTAAACTCAAGCCTGAAAGGCATTTTATTTTCCACTTAGAAGCCTGGCACATGCATTTATCCTAGACAAAATAATTATATTCACTGTCAATTGTGTATCCATGATGTGACATGTGCACATTGCCACTCTGAAATGTAAGCAATTTCCTCAAAGGAGGATTTTAGCTCAATCAATGCAAGGGATAAGTATTAAAAATTATATACATATATATGCACTCACTCCTATATCAATTCTGTGTAGGCATGTTTTTTTAAAAAAAAATTCAATACAATTACAGTGACAGAGCTCTGCTCTTGTTGAGCTCTTCAAATATTTTTGCAAAACAGACAGTCCAGAATGTTGTGTGGCAAAGGAGCTCTACTTCTCCACACCACTGAAAATGCAAGGTTTATTATATTCATATTTTTAAAAAAGGGTTGTCTCTATATTCTCTCTTTTGATTATTTCCTAAAATACAACACTCCAGACATGTCCACAACAGAAAAATAATATCTACAACCTATAAATCATGGATTATACAGACAAAACACAGGTATACAAAATAATCACTGTTCCCATATTTCAACACAATAGGCACCATATCAAATCCAATTATTATCTAATGCACTTAATGGTACCTTGATTATTCATTATAATGGAGAATACCACCATACTGAATAATTGAGCTTCACTGTATATTTAGATTCAAACTGATAGATTGCACTATTGTCTTTAATGTTTTAATTATGGTTACATTTAAAGGTTGCTGTGTGGAATTTGAGTTCTGACAATTTTATAAGAGATTCTGTCAATGATAACTAGAATACGAGCCAGACAAGCTGAGTGCAGTGTAGGCCATACTCGTGGAGGGAAGCAGTGACTAATGTGATGACCAGGAAAGCTGATAAAGTTTCCATTATATTTAAGACCTTTACACAAACACGCGCTTTTAATAAGTCAAATGGTTTCCAAAAATTATACACAATCATATATGGGTAAACCTGCAAAACCAATTTTGTATTTAATTTTGCTAACAGAATAACTAGGTACATGTAAAATACAGAATAACTAGGTACATGTAAAATACTTGCTTGAAGCCACAAAAATAGAGTAAAAAAATCAAATCACTTAAAATTAATTTACTGATGCAAATCATAATGCAGTGTTCATAATGTGGAGTCCTGTAGCTCAGTGGTTAGAGCACTCGCTTTGCAAGCGAGAGACCGGAGTTCAATTCCAGGAAGGACGAAACCTTGGGCAAGTTTCCTTACTCCACACGCCTAATAATAATCCCTCCAAAACCCAAAACAATAATAAATTGGTCGTTTTCAATCTACGACTGTTTGTGGGACATTGCTGTATGCAATTGGCTGCTGCGTTCGCCCACAAATATACAGTCAATTCACTTTACAGTGTGTTCTGTGAAGCGCTTTGGGACGTCCTCCCGATGTGAAAAGCGCTATATCAAATGCAAGGTTTATTATTATTATACATAAACATGCCAGAATTTGGATTTTGACTTCTACGGAAAGATCAGTCACCACATTGCCAAGTTTTCTTGCTGCAAAGAAGCTGTATAATAGCATTTAAATTCAGATGAGTCACCATCTGCTGAATAATTGCAGGGGGGTTTTTCTCCCTATTTCCTTGAACGACATTCATTCTGTAGTCTTCTCCTATCATTCAATGGGTTCTGATGAGGGAAGAATATGGAAAAAAAATTGCTGTTCACAAGTCAAGCAAATCCCTCTTTCCCATCTGCAGTAAAATTTATCTCTTTCACAGTTTGCATGACATTTCAGAGAAACATAGTTAGACACACTGAGAAAAGCTGGTCTGAATAATTTCCAAGCACAAACTAAAAACCTATACAACATCTAACACTCTAGAAAATCAAATCTATCCGTTCCCCCACAAAACAGTCACTGCACTTTACCGTATATCCTGTAAGGTACTATGGGACATCTTCCCGACTGAAAGGCACTATACCAAATGTAAGGGTTATAATGTGTTTATATTAATCATAGAAATAATATAAAAACAAGTAAAATTTAAAAATATACATAAAATAAAGATATAATTATATTATAATACCAAATAAACAAATAGCACTGTGGCACATTTGGCAAGTAAAACAAGCAATATCCACCTTTGGATACAGCCTGGGTAAACACCAAATGATATATATGCGCTTCTAGAGGCTCTCAGTCAAGCCTCCTTCCCTAGGTCCTGAGAAGCCAATTGCAATTCATGCCCCAAACCCACTGGGAACACAACCTCTCCACTTCCAGGGCTCTACAATTCCACCCTTTTTGTAATCTAAATCTAAACAGCCCCAATAATGTATCTACATACACTACCTATTCAGAAATTTAACATGTACTTAGAGGCATGGTCAAGGATGATACTCTAGTGCAGCATTGAGGAGTACTGTATTGTTGGAGGTGCCATCCTTCAGGTAAGACATTAAAAACAAACAAAAATATCTGCCTGTTTAGGTTGGAGTTAAAGATAATTCGCAAATCACACTATTTCCAAAAGAGAAGGTAGCTTCTCCAGGTAAACTGACCAACAATCCTCCAGTTAAGTGGCTATTCACCACTTGGCGCAGGCCACCGAAACCCTCATACACGCATTAATTACATCGAGGCTTGACTATGCAAATTCCTTGCTTGTTGGCCTCCGCAACAACTCTCTCCATAGGTTGCAGATCAGATTATCCAGAACTCTGCAGGCTATATCCTCACCCGTACCAGGCTCCGTGACCCTATCACTCCCATCCTCGCCCGACTCCACTGGCTTTTCATCACACAGAGGATACAGTTCAAGTTCCTGGTCCTCACCTTCAAAGCCCTCCACGGTCTTGTTCCCAACTACCTCTGCGACCTCCTAACCCCAACTCCCCTACCATCCTGCCCACTCCTTCCACTCAGCGGGCTCCAGCTTGCTTCACGTCTCCCACCTCGCCTGCCCCACCATTGGCGGGAGGGCCTACTGCCACTCTACCCCACCCTCCAGAACTCCATCCCGCAGTCGCTCCGCCTCGCCCCCCCTTCCTTTCCTACTTCAAGACCCATCTCAAGCCCCTCCTCTTCGACCGTGCTTTTGATCACCCTGCTTCCCCCCCTGCCCTCCACCCTCCCCAATCCTGACCCCCAACTCGGGTCCGAAACTCTGACTGTCCAACGCCTTGGGAAGTCCTCCCGAAGTGAAAGGTGCTATACAAATGTAATTTTGTTGTTGTTGGCTAATTGTGGGACATTGCTGTGTGCATATTACCAACAAAATTCACAACTAGTTGCTATACTTTAAAGAATACTTTTAAGAATATGTTATAGATTCAAGTGATCTTTATTGCTCTAATCTTTTCAACCATCGGCTATCCTGCACTATGGACCTAAAACTTCAGCTGTGTTTCTCAGTAAAAAAATTCTTACATTTTAATATCATGTCATTGAGACATCTCAAAGAGCTTCACATGATTTTATTTGTATTTGTAGGTGAACACAACAGCTAATTTGCACACAATGTCCCACAAACAGCCATGCAAATTACCAACTTTATCTGGGAGATTATTGGCCAGGACATTGGAAGAAACATCCCTTCTCTTTTTGAATAGTGTCATGGGATCTCTACCTGGACAGGTAGACAGGACCTCAGTTTATTCAAAACTCTGCCGCCCGTATTCTCTCCCGCACCAAACTCTGTTCCCCGATTACTCCAGTCCTTGCCAGACTGCTCTGGCTGCCTGTCCCAAAGAGGATCGATTTCAAGATCCTCACCCGTCTTCAAGTCCCTCCATTCCTCTGCACCCCCTACCTCTCTGACCTCCTCTCCTCAAAACAGTGTTCGTTGCCTTCGTTCCTCTGGGTCTGGCCTCCTCCTTGTCCCCCGAGTCCTTCCCTCCACCCTCGGTGGTCGTGCCTTCAGTCACTATGCCCCGAGGCTCTGAAACTCCCTTCCTCACTCCCTTTGCCTCGCCCCCTCTCTTCCTATTTTCAGGTCTCTGCTGAAGACCTTCTTTTCGACCGCGCCTTTGGTTACCTTCCTCCCCTCCCCGGGATCCGTTACTGTGAAGCGCTCTGAAACACCATTCAGCATGGAGGGCGCTATATAAATCCAACTTGTCGTTGTTGTTGTACGTCTGATCAGAGGAGAAAGTGTTACCAACTAAGCCAGGCTGACACCTTGTCAACAACAATAACAAAATTACATTTGTAAAGCGCCTTTCACGTTGGGAGGATGTCTCAAGGTGTTGTCAAACCAAATATCAAAGATCAAAAATAAAAAGGAAAGCAAAGAATAAAAACAGTGAAATACGAAAAAGGAATAAACAAAGCAATGAATGACCATGGAAAAAACGCACAAATTTCAAACAAATGCTGATTAATTGCATTATGCCTAGTAGTCTGTGCTTGACATTGACGAGACTGACTGCAGCAATAATGCCCACTAAATGAAGATAACGTTTAACAGCACATTCCCCTAATTAAACAGTATCCCTTGGGATCTCTGCAAGAAAATGGCACACACACAAGTAAATTGATATGCTGATAGTGAATATATGTCACAATCTATTAGGGTTTTGCCTTCTAATTCTTCGATTTTACTAAATAAAAGTTAATTACTACTTGAGGTGTAATTTGTTTTTCACTGATAACAACCACATCAAACCCATTAAATGTTACGATCATATGACTTGTCAGTGCCAGGTAAATTGGGATTATGAATAACTGTCTGTGAATCACCAGAAAACAGTAGACTATGTAACGAAGACAAGAGAGCTGGAACAAAACTAAAACCAGATTGACATTATACTGCTCGCATTCAGTTTGTAAACTTTGTTGTAGCAAGTGTTTTTTTTTATAGGTTCACACAAATAGAAACAATCAATTTTACTAAAATCTGAGGTGGAGGCTTCTCATTAAAAACTACCTGCATTAAAATGTTTTTGCCCCCTAATTATTCTAAAATCATATGTACCTTAGATTCAAGTAAATACAGTAACAATGCATAATACAGTAACATTCAGTGATAAAATATACTTTCCAGTAAATCTATAACAAAAACAAATGTTACATCAAATGCTCCATAAAGAACTATGCAATGTTATTGGTAAACTACTGTGTGAATTTTTTCAAATTTTACTATTAGAGATTGCTAGATCTTTTACACTCTTAAATGGTTCACAATAAAGTCTTGAAGATGTGGTTATAATCTCTTCAAGACAGTCAGACGCCATCACACAACCAGAATTAAAACTCATTAAAAAAATTAAATAAAAATAACCCCCGAGGCTACATATATGTACCATCCATTCCTGAAATACCAATGTGCGGCACAAGACAATTCTGAACTCTTACTATAATTGCAATCACTGTATCTCAAAAGTCTGGTTCAAAGGAAAATGCTGGTCTCAGGTCACAACTGTTCAGTACATGGAACACTCTACCAATATGCATTTCCCAGCACCAATTAATTGTTAAAGTTCATATCTACAAACGAAAATCAAGCTGCATCTTGGTGTATGCAATAGTTTTTTCTTAAAACATCGTCATAAGCTTTTTACGTAAGATTGATCCTACTTGTCCAGTTCTACATAGGGGTACTCCATCTCACCTTTTCAGTTCTGATAAAGGGTCAAACACGAAACATAACAGGGAATTAAGGAAAGAAGACGACCATTTGTCCCCGTATTTCCACTCTGTCACAGGCAATTCTATGGCCTATGTCATTCAAATCTCCCTAATCCCACCTTCTCACCAGATTTCCAATTATTCACTCCTAAAGTGTGTGCGCAAATTAGATGCTGAGTTCACCTACAAAATACACAAGTCATTGCACTTCACAGTAAATCCTGTAAAGCACTTTGAGCTGTCTCGATGATGTGATAAGGCACTATATCAAATGCAAGAAATATTCTCTCTCTCTCTCTATATATATATATTTGTGTATATATAAATCCTTCAACTGATTCTCATCTATGGATTTCACTGATTGTCATGCTAAAATTTTGATTTATTTCACCAATACAGAAATACATTAATCACTTGAATAAAATACTGAGACCAGAGGTTCTGCGTTCACATGCCTGCTGAGTTCAGTCAGTCCTTCATCTTTTCAAGGTCAGCACAGTACAGTCCCATTAAAACAAGTCTTGTCCAGTCTTCAAAGATTTTCCAATCATTTTACTCTTTATTCTGAATTCTATCAGCTGTGGATGAGTTTCAGTCATAGGGTGTTGAATAAGAAATGCCTCCCTCTCATGACAAGCTGCTTTGCATTTGTAATATTGTTAAAGGCACAGACCATAACAATCTCTTTTGACAATCCTTGCTATATCCAGTGTCATTAGTACCACCTCATTTGGAGTGATTTATAATGCTGTCAAGCACATACATTTCAAAGGTGAAAGGATAGTCCAAAACAAGTATGGTAAGATATAAAGCATAAAGTTAGAGTTAGCAGCCCTGGTATCAACTTAGATGACTATTTTCTGATCAATCTAAGGATTTGATTCCTCCAAATAAATTTGAGGTTGTTTCTTACCTCCACTCCTCTGCTGGATGATTCTGTTCAAACTTCTCACGTATATGTGACACGCCCATGTCTGGATGCAACCAGTGGATCTCTTCTGAATGCACATGGCTGAGTCGAATTCCAAAACATGCCACATTTTTCACCTTGTGGCAGTCTACAATCTTCTGAATAATACCCTGAAATATTATGAATAGGCTAGCAATTAGGATGGGATAGTTTCCAAATAACTTTCACAAAATAAGACTGGAAAAATAATGTTCAAAACAATCATGTGAGTAAGAAAATGAAATTCCGCTAATAATACACAGAATAACTGTAAAGGGAAAACAAATTTGCTGTTTATATATAGATGTAAAAGGCAATTCATTCATTTTATAGCTAGGACTCATATTCCAGCACCTTAGGATATCCTCCCTACATGAAAGGCCCTATACAAATGTCATTTTGTATTGTAGTCAAGTACATAAATTTTAAAATGTCCTTACACTTGATACAGCGCCTGTCAGGAGGACGTCTCAAAATGCTTCACAGGATTTGCTGTAAAGTGCAGTGACTGTGTTTTTGTAGGTGACCATGGCAGCCAATTCATACACGGCAATGTCTTGCAAATAATCCTGGGGAATTATTAGCCAGGACGTGAAGAGAAACTCCGTTCTCTTTTTTGAATAGTGCTTTAACACTTACCTGAACAGGGCCCTCAGTTTTAATGTCTCAAACCATCCCCCCCACCCAACCACTGAATATATTTGAATTTTATGATGAATATATGAATAAATAATACTTGCATTTGATATAGTGCCTTCCTCACGTCTTCGAGACGTCTCAAAGCGTTTCATTTCACAGAATATACTGTAAAGTGAATTGACTGTATATTTTGTGGGAGAAATGCAGCAGCCAGTTGTGCACAGCAGTGTCCAACAAATAGTCGTGGATTGAGTGACCAAATTATTTATTTAGTTTTGTTGAAGGGATTATTACCTCTGGAAATGTGATCTGCCAATCGACTAATAACCGGGTTCCTACTTACTGCTAGGTGAATAGGGTTTGTGGAGTAAGGAAACTTGCCATAAAGTTTCGCCCAATCTGGGAAATGATCCCAGGTCCTCTCTCTTGAGAGGCGAGTGCTCTAAGCTACAGGGAGCCCAAAGTTTCGATCTGGGGCTTGAGCCCACAACCTTTTGACTGAAACGAGCTGCCAATTGAGCCAGGCTGACACAATGCCCTTTGAAGCATTGCTTCAAAGGGCATTATAGATACATTTGTCACTTAGCGTACCCAATCAACATATGTATATGATAAAGATGAAATCTGCAGCAAAAAATGAAGAGGCTTGAATATTATTGGGGTACAGGAAAATAATCACCATTTATTTAAAGTTCTACCTTTAGCATTTTCTATACAGTAGTGAGCGAATTACCCACACTAACTATAATAAATAGTTCACATAACTGGACATCATGCAAAATACAAATTGGCTATGATTCTAAACTTAAAAATTCTGTTAAGAGATACACTGTCAGTCATCCTCTCACTGCTCCACCCTCTCTCAGACTGTCAATTTCCTTCTCAAATTTTAGTCCACTGAATAAAAGTTAAATATAGAGATTCAGCTTCATATCATTAGCGAACAAAAATTCAGATGTGTACAAGGTCACTAAGCACAAGATTTACTTGCACTGTGTGGACAAACTGCATTCTTAGTAACCTTGAGCACAAGCATAAAACATCACACATGCCCACAACTGTCATTTTTTGCCAGTATCTTGCAGCTCTGTGTCCACTTACTTGCATTGGAGCCAAATGTTCAGAAGCGTTAATGTGCAAATAATTAAATGTGCCAATCATTACTGTATACCAATTATTACTGTAGCTTTCATCTTTTCAGACAAACCACATGACTTGTCAATTATAAACACCATCACTGTTTTCTCAACTATACTCCTAACAATCTATTCAGATAATTTAGTAAAGCTGAAAAAAAGAGTTGCCATCTATTTTGTGTAGAACTGCACATAGCTCGCAAGTACACAAGCTTAATCATCTTGCCATTCTATATTATACAAAAATCAATCATCTGTGGTCAAAAAACTGTATACTGAGAAAGTACAGATGTTTGAGGGGAAACACAGAAAAAAAAACATGGTTTTAAGTGGTTTCTGAAAAGCTGACAAATAGAGATTGATTATAGCTTTTTGTCACATTGCTTCTATTATTACAGTAGTTGGCTTTGCACAGAAGCAAAAACAAGAGTGATCATACCCATGGCATGTTGGGTGACAGATACATCAAAGGAGTTTTACACTTTCTCCCAAATGTCATTTGTTTATAAAATGCCAACTCCCGAATACAAATAAAAGTACAAATTTGTTGCAACAAACATTACTACCAGGGTTTCATGACCTAAATCTCAATTTTATTACTGCCTCCTAAAACTCCTCTAAGCACAATATGCCTAGAGGAGAGTTTAATAATAATAATCCTTGCATTTGATACAGCTCTTTTCACGTCTTCTAGACGTCTCAAAGCGCTTCACAGAATATACTGTAAAGTGAATTGACTGTATATTTGTGGGAGAACGCGGCAGGCAATTGCGCACAGCAATGTCCCACAAACAGCCGTAGATTGAAAATGACCAATTTATTATTGTTTTTGGTTTTGGAGGGATTATTATCAGGTGTGTGGAGTAAGGAAACTTGCCCAAGGTTTCGCCTCTGCCTGGAATTGAACTCAGGTCTCTCGCTTGCAAAGCGAGTGCTCTAACCACTGAGCTACAGGACTACACAAGTTTGTAGGTACCTCACACAAGGAGCAATGTTAGCTTTGCAGAAAGTATAAATTTGCCTTTTGACATTTTGACCATCTGTTTTTAGTAAGGATGGTGCAGTAAAGGTTTATCTGTTTTGATCAACTAACTATTCAATCGTCCGTCCGATGTTATTGTACATCCTATGTTGAATCCCACTAGTTAAACATAGATTGAATCTCATATGATAGCAGCATGCATTTTCTCTCATGGATCTAAATTTCACGGTTAGCAGCATAAAGAATTGTACTGTAACATCTGTAATCTTTTCTGGTAACATGGGTACACTTATAGGAGGAGATGTGGAGCCCAAAATTTATTTCCCAAAAATCAAAAAACAGAAAGCCGGCCTCAGAAGAGCAGACACCCCTCTCAGGAAGCTACTGTTTGGCATCAAACACTCCAGCATTGTGCAGGGGCTTCTTATTGATGCAGCTTTGAAATATAACAAGTCCACAAGATAATAGAACTATAGAAATTTCCAACACAGAAGAAGAACATTCATCCCATTGTGTCTGTGCTGGTTCTTTTAAGAGCATTCAATTCAGTATTTTTTACCTGGCCTTGGCCCATAACTCTGTAGTTACTCCTTTTTAGATATTTATCTAAAAAACCGTTGCTGCATTAGTTTAAACATCTCATTCGTCGAGAAGACGTGAAAAGCACTATATAAAATGCAAGGATTATTATTATATACGACTAAAATCTAATGTTTTTGTCACAAAATGAGGTTACGAAAACTGTTGTGTTGATGTTGGATGGGGGCGGGATAATAGAACTATAGAAATTTACAACACAGAAAAAGAACATTCATCCCATTGAGTCTGTGCTGGCTCTTTTAAGAGCATTCCATTCAGTATTTTTTTTAACCTGGACTTAGCCCATAACTCTGTAGTTACTCCTTTTTAGATATTTATCTAAAAAGTCGTTGCTGTTTTAGTTTAAACATCTCATTAAAGTTGTACCTTTTCCTGTCTCACACCGCAGGCCGCCGAAACCCCCATACACGCCTTCATTACATCGAGGCTTGACTATGCAAACTCACAGCTTGTCGGCCTTCCCAACTCCTCCCTCCACAGGGTGCAGATCATCCAGAACTCTGCAGCACGTTTCCTCTCCTGCACTAGGCTCCGCGACCCTATCACCCCCATCCTTGCCCAACTCCACTGGCTTCCCATCATACAGAAGATGCAGTTCAAGATCCTGGTCCTCACCTTCAAAGTCCTCCATGGTCTTGCTCCTCCCTACCTCTTCGACCTCTTAACCCCTACCACCCTGTTCGCTCCCTCTGCTCAGCAGGCTCCAGCCTGCTTCACGTTCCCCGCCTTGCTTGCCCCACTATCGGTGGGCAGGCCTTCCGCCACTCTGCATCCACCCTCTGGAACTCCATCCCGCAGTCCCTCCGTCTCACCCCCTTCCTCGCCACCTTCAAGACCCAGCTCAAGACCCTCTTCTTCAACCGTGCTTTCGATCTCCCTGCTTCACTCCCTGCCCTCCACCCGCCCCCACTCCCAGTTCGGGTCCATAATCTCTGTCCTCCTGACGTGAAAGGCGCTGTACAAATGTAATTTTGTTGTTGTTGTTTCCTTTTCATACTGAAACTGCTGATTTGAAAAAGATACTGTGAGCAATTAGAAATGGTTTGTAAATAGGTCTTCCATCAAGTTGGAAAAATAATTGATTGCCAGGTGATTTTCGCACTCTGGCATTGATCACTAGAGTGTCAGAGAAATGTTATCAGTGATATGCAAGGAATTTAAAGTTTGTCCAGCAAACTAGGTTTCATTTATCATTCACTTCAATAAGTAATTAGACACATACAGGAATGACATTTCTGGAACTACTTAATGCACAACATTCAGGTTTGTACACTCATTTTGTCATAATGGTGGTAATATGACCAAGTGTGAAAAGTGCCAATGGGGAGAAAAATAATGAGATCATTGCAGTGATCTCCACAATAACCTCAGTTCACTTCCACAATAACCATTTCTTGCTTCTTCTGCATCATTAGCCATTATGAATATTGCTGCATATTCTGAACTTTCATACTTCATTTCCTTTTTCAAAATCAATGAGCTTTATTAAACAGGTGAGGATTAAATAATAATAATAATAATAATTCTTGCATTTGATATAGCGCTTTTCACGTCAGGAGGACGTCCCAAAGCGCTTCACAGAACACACTGAAAAGTGAATTGACTGTATATTTGTGGGCGAGTGCGGCAGCCAATTGCGCACAGCAATGTCCCACAAACAGTCGTAGATTGAAAATGACCAATTTATTATTGTTTTGTTTTTTTGGAGGGATTATTATTAGGCTCTGTGTGGAGTAAGGAAACTTGCCCAAGGTTTCGCCCTCTGCCTGGAATTGAACTCAGGTCTCTCACTTGCAAAGCGAGTGCTCTAACCACTGAGCTACAGGACTCCACAATAACAGTAATAACTGGCAAAATAATATGTAAATTGTTAAAACCAAACCCAGTTAAATGTGGTTAAATAATAAAATAATCCTTGCATTTGATATAGCGCTTTTCACGTCTTCTATATTTGTGGGCGAAACGCGGCAGCCAATTGCGCACAGTAGTGTCCCACAAACAGTCGTGGATTTAGAATAACCAATTTATCATTGTTTTATTTTGTTTCAAACAAAACATAATAATCATCCTTGTAACTGGCAGAGCATATTTCACCTCGGGAGGGTGGGGGGAAGAGTCTTAAAGCACTTCACAGTGAAGTGACTTCTTATTAGGTGATACCAGCAGCCAATTTATGCACAACAATGTTCCACAAACAGTCATGAAATGAATGTCTGATTTAATTTGGGGAAATATTGGTCAGGACACTTAGGAGAAATTCCCTCCTATTCCTCACCTGTTTGATAAAGTTCATTGATTTTGAAAGAGGAAATGAAGTATGAATGTTCAGAATAGGGCCATAGGCTCTTCAAGCAAGCAGACAGGACCTCAGTTCAATCTCATCCAAAGACAGCACGTGCAACAATTCAATGTACTCCCAGCATTGGATGGAACCGTGGGTTCAAAGTCCCGATGTGGGGATTAAACCCACAACTTGCCAATTCCAAGGTAAGAGTGGTACCAACTGAGCCGGGCCGACAACTAACTATGTTGGGGCATGGTTACATTGAAGAGGCAAGCAGCATGATAATCAGGAAATAAATTTGTGGATAAATCCACTGGTGTGGAGCAGTATAAAAAAAGTTCTGAGTTGAAGAAGCAAAGAAATTAATATAAATCAGATTACACTGTTATGGTGCATAACTTCTTGTATGCAACAACAATTTGGATTTATATAGCGCCTTCCACCCTGCACATCATCTCAGAGAGCTTTACAGTAACGGATCCCGGGACCGAGCCAGGGGGAGGGGAAGGTGACCAAAGGTGCGGTATAAAACATTAGTCAGACCCTATCAAAAGTACTGTGTGTACTTTTAATAATCATAGGAAGGATATTATTATAAGCACTTTGGGACTCTACCCTGCATGAGGTGAGCTATATAAATGCAAGGTGTTGTTGTCTTTGAGATATATCACAAACGTGAATGGAAAACGGAAACAAGATTTTCAAGTAATGAGGAAAGATTAAGGAATTGGACTTGTTCCTTTTGGAAAAGGAGGCTTTGAAGATGATCTATCTAAAGTTCTCAATATTATGAAGCAGATTCAAAAAGTTTCAGTCAGTTTAGGCCAGGTGCTAGAACGGAATGTAGAATAGAATTGTTGTCAAGGGTGGGAAAGGGGGTTGAGAAACAATAAATCAGTCAATATTCTCATTTCTGTTCACAACTGTTAGAAACAGAATCAGGCAGAGAAAGTCTGATAAGCTTTTCTGGTTAAAATGCTCACTGCCCAAGCTCATAAATCGAGTACCACCTGATTCCTGGTACATGAAAGAAATGTTTCGGGGGGGGGTTTTAAACATGAATTTAGAAATTTGATCCTGATAATACCTTTTTTTATATATTGATTTTTAGCAGAAGGATTTAGACAGATTTGGAATGTTACAAAAGCAACAACTCACCCGGACATCTGTTGCGTCGCCATGCCTGATGTTCATGGCCCAGGTGAAGGGCTCATTATTACTCTCAAAATAGTGAAAGACCTTTAGCACTCGTTCCATGGCTCCGGGAGACCGTTCCATACTCAAACGTGCTTTGGCTCCCGAACTTGCTGTGTGATTCAGGTTTGGATCAAGATAAGCAGCTGCCATGCTTCTGTGGGATGCTATGTATCGGTCATATTCTGTGAAGGATAAAAACAAATAAAAATTAGATCCAGAAAATGATCAACTATGTCCGTGGCATCTCCAGAAATGTACCATTGGTATGAGTTATTGCTCTCTTCCTCAAATATGCAATAAATTATTTACTGCACAGGTTTACCCACTGAGTAACCTCCCCATGCCTTAGGAATTCTTGCCTGGAATCTTCTAAATTATATACAGAAGCTAGTGTAGTGTTAAAAGGTTCTTCTGCTGTACCAGATATTCCCATTGTATGATAAGAATATCGATGTAATATTTTTTGCTCCAACTTGGCATCACCTGGTGTTTCTAAAGACACACCAGGTGGTGTGAATGCAAGATGGATCTGTTCCAGTTTAATTCAGAGTCAAAAATAAGTTGCAGCATATCTAGTAAATTAACCAACTGCCAAGGTTAAATTAATGTCACTACCTTTGACATTATGTTAAGTAATGGGCTGGAAGCACATTATTGGTTGCAGCAATCTTGGCATTCTTCGCAAAAAGAATTTCATGACCATGTCTACCTTGAAACAAATTGACACGGTTTACGCTGTTTGCAACACACCTGAAGCAAACTGCTAATAACATGCCTGGTTATAACTAATGTTGACAAAAGTTTATTTGTTTGATCTGTAGCTGCAATATTCCCAGGTCTTAGATGATAGCTGTTTCCCTCCAATTCTCTCCTCACTTGCTCTTCAGATAATGCTTTATTAGTTGCAATGGGTCACCATCTGATAGCTCATCCAAGTACCCATTATTTCTGTGCTAGTCTTGACAGTGAGTGTCATCAATTTATTTGACCACACAAAGGATCACCACTGAGCCCAATCCTGTTCTCACAGGCCGTTATTGATCTGACGACACACACACACTCTCTAGCACTGGATCACTGGATATCAACAGCAGTAACCCTGGCTGATTGTGCCCCTTGTACCCCAGGGGGATTATGAAGGGCAATTATAGTACCCCAATTGCTGCCTGGTGAGTTCAGCCAATGCATCATAAATTGAAATTGGACTCTGATTTTTTTATAATTTCTTAATTCTATATACTATGTCTACAAATAGGAAAAATGCCAGGAGGTCTGTAATATTATCTGTACCACATCATTAGTGTTTACACTTGCATCTCCTACCTATGCAAAGATTGCACAAACAGACTTGAACTGATCTCTCACCAGATATTTCCTTGGAATAAATATTGTTAGTCAGTCTTTGCCTCGACAACACTTCTTACTGTGACCCACAGAATAATAACTCTTGAAGTGTTGAAAGTCTGAGACAATAAACAAATGTATCTGAGTTTTTTTAACAAAGCTTCGTTATTTGTTATAACAAAAACTTTGTTATTAAAAACAACCAAAATAACTAAATTAAAAAAGAGAACACTCCCAATGAAGTTTTGTGTAAGATATGCCTTCAATTCTTAAAAAAACCTGTAAGGTTAAAAATAATAATTAAGCTCCATATTTAAGTAGTTGGAAAACAGCGAGGCAAAAGTACAAAACGACTTGGACTAACCACGTTTACGAGAAATTTTCCTTATGCCTTACAGCTGGTGTAAATTGTGGGATTTAATGACTTTACAGCAGGTGGTCATACAAAAGTTTCCAGCACCAAATAATAATATGCTGAACTAACATGTTATCAAGACGACAATTTTTAAAACTTTTTTCTGAATGCTTGCTGCCCAATTCTCTAACATGGCTTGACATATCCACAAGAAACTCAATAGGCACTCAAACCTTTTCAGTCATACAGTCGCGTCTACTTAATATTACACTCAACTGAAGCGGATAAAATTAGAAGTTTTGCTCACAAAATATATAGTTAATTCATTTTACAATATATTCTGTGAAGCGCTTTGAGATGTCGTAATTATCCATAAGGTGATATATCAAATGCAAGGATTATTATCATTATACTACAACAATAGGGAACTTCCATTATAAACACTTGCAAATACTACCAGACTGTTCTGAAGGCATTTACAATTTCAAGAATAAGAAAATAAAGTTAAAAACCCAACATTCTACTTTCATTTCACTGAAATAAGGATTCATACATCTTTCATTAAAATCAGCTGTTTGATGGTTTTATCTTCAAAATGGAATCACAGCAAATCAGTTGAAAACAGTCACTACGGATCCAAAATAATCTTTCCCCCTCTTCTCACTGGACCATCTGCCTTCCATCAACCCGCCCCACACAAACCATTCACCTATCTCTTCATTACAGATTTTAGGTGTCAGAATGATGCTCCGGACCGCTCTGCCAGCACTACACTCCCGACAATTGGCTGCTGCATTTCACCCAGAAAATATACAGTCAATTCACTTTACCGTACTTTCTGTGAAGCGCTGTGAGAAGTCTCGAAGATGTGATAAGGAGCTATATTAAATGCAAGATTATTATTATTATAAGGTTTGTTAATTGGGCCTGCAAATTTGCATCAGATGAATTATAACTTATATGGCTATAATACGTAAACTCAACAATACAAACATACTAAGCACAGCCGGGATTATTGCTAGCATAATATTATGCTTATTATAACAATAGTCGACCTAACATTATGCACACTTGACTGTATACAGTAATTCATAGTGCATAAGGCACGGATACAAAGTTCTGGTCCTTTATTTTCTAAACAGCAATATTTATTCCACATTCATCAGTGATTTTTTACACTTAACTATTTTACAGCAAGGAAATAAACAAAATATCAGACAGATCTGAACATATTAATGAGTGGAACCCTTGCCCCCAAAAAGCTGTGGATGCTGGATCCATTCAAATTTTCACAACTGAGGTAGATAGATATTTGTTAGGTCAGGGTATTAATGGATTTGGGGCAAGTACGGGTAATTGGAGTTGTGTTACAGATCAGCCATGATCTTATAGAATGGCATTACAGGCTTGAGGGGCTGAATGGTCTACTCCTGTTTCTATGTTAGAGCATAAAATTACATGAGTAGCTAATGGGTCCAACTGAGCTGCTTGGATCTTATCTTTTATGAAGGTTTTGGGCAAGGGTCACTTTGCACACCAAAAAGAAACCTTGAAGGTTTTAAAACCTTTAGTTCCAATTATTTTATGCCAATGACATTATCAGTTTCAGTGCATTACTGTGAGAAAGACCAAACGATTCAGTCTCATTTATGTTGCTCTGCAATTTTGACCTTTCATATTAAATAAAAAACTGCACAACTGGTGAAATATTCTACAGTTGACATTCTAAAAAGTGCCTTTTTGTAGTTCATGGAAACAGGAGTAGGTCATTTAGCTCCCAAGTCTATTCCACCAGTCTATAAGATCATGGCTGATCTGGACCTCAAGCTCAATTACCCACCCTTGCCCTGTATCCCTTAATACTCTGACCTAACAACTATCTATCCACCTCAGTCTTGAAAATGTGAATGGGTCCAGCTTCCACGGCCTTTTGGGGGAGAGAGTTCCAGATTTCCACTACCCTTTGGATGAAAAACTGCCTCCTAATTTCACTTCTAAATGGCATAGCTCTATTTTTAAAATTATGCCACCTTGTTCTGGAATACAAATTTTAAATGATGGCACTTGTAATGTATCATTTTAATTTGATATATTTAGCATCGTGAATTAATATCACTAATGTAATTGTGTCTGAAGATATCACAAAACCCGAAGAACATGCAGTTAGTTCACCATTAAAAGAATTGCAAGATTGTATATTTCTACCTTAAACTCGTTGCCAGACATTTGCTTATATTAAAGTTTAAACATTTTTACAATGAAGCTGAAGCAGTACAAACAAAACTAATAATGATATCAGGTCAGACACAAAGGTATAAAGCATCAAATTATGGTGTACACCTTCAGATCCAGTACTACATGTGGTGTTACCAATTTTCTACATCCCCTCCTCTCTGCTCTGTAATTACCAGCTGAAAAAACAGGAATACTGAGCAGTGAGTGGAATGAACATAAAAATGGAAATATTATCAAAAAGGTTACATCCAAGCAAATGGTGGTAAATGTGCAGAGAGGTGATAAAACAAAATTTGTAGGAAGGCTAGGCAGATGCATACACTTCATCTCCCGCAGCAGAAGTGTCTGAGCATGAAGTATTCCCAAGATGCGATTAACTAGAACCCATAAGTCCAGCTGCCAGAGCAGTGAATTTGTATCCATTAGAATAAAGGCTGTTATTGTGCTTATCTTTCCAACAAACTCATTCTCTGAATCTAAAATGTAATATATCTGATTCAAAAGTAAAAACCCCAAATCACATAGTTCAGTGGTGGCAAAAAGGTTTCTTTTAAATATTACTAGGATATTTATAATTGAAAACAAAAGATCTCTCAAATTTGCAGAAACCTAGAGTGTCATGGTCTCAGATGATAGCACTCTTTGCATTGAGTCAGAAGGTTGTGGATTCAATCCGCACATTCGGATATAAATACACAGTCCAGGCTGATACTCCAATGCAACAACAACTTGCATTTATATAGCGCCCCTCATGTAGTGTAGCATCTTGGGACATCCTCCCGACGTGAAAGGCGCTATACAAATATAATCTTGTTGTTGTACAGTGCCAGAGCGCTTGACAGCAGCAGAGCATGATGCCGCGCCAGGGCGGAGGGGTGACCATAGGCACAGTTGAAGAGGAAGGTCTTCAGTAATGGGAGAGGCAGAATTGTATGAGATGCCATTTTTGGGGTATAACTAAGCTGAAGTCCTGTTTGCCTTCTGAAGCCGATGTTAAAAATCCCATGGCATTGTTCAAAAAGAGAAAGGAGGTTCTCCAAGTGTCCCGGCAAACAATCCTCCAGATTATCACTGGTCATTCACTTCTTGGCTGTTGTGAAGTGCTACTGTGGAGCACTGCTGGTAGGATCATTACACATAATTCTTAATTCACTATGATGTGCATTGAGGCATTTATACTGTAGTCTCTATGTCAAACGCAAGATTTTCTTTATTATTTGAACAAGAATAAATTATATTTTAGTCAAT